AGCAGTGCAGGGCGGGGGAAGCCCTGCAAGTAGGCTCAGAGCACTCTGATTGGTGGGTTTAAGCCATGCAATCAGAATGCTCTGACAGGTAAATTAAGAGACTGACAGGTAAGTCTCTACATTTACCTGTCACAGCACTCTGATTGGTTGGTTTGAAATCCACCAATCAGAGTGCTCTGTGGCATTTTACACAGCGTGGGAAAGTTCTTTGGAATTTTCCCACGCTGTGTAATTTGACTCATAACTCTCTGATTGGTTACTTTTTTTATTTAGGGCCCCCACCCGTCGCTCAGGGGTGGAGGCAAGGGGGAGGACTTTAGGTCCCCCCCAATTAGTATTTAGGGCCCCCACCGTTCAGGGATGGGAGCCAGGATTGAGGACATCAGGTCCTCCCCCCTCATTCTAATTTAGGGCCCCCACCCACCGCTCAGGGGTGGGGGCGAGGGGGGAGGACATTAGGTCCCCCCCTCATTCTAATTTAGGGCCCCCACCCACCGCTCAGGGGTGGGGACCAGAAGGGAGGACATTAGGTCCTCCCCCCTTATTCTAATTTAGGGCCCCCACCCGCCGCTCAGGCAATAGGCCCCCCTTATGTTTAAAAGCCCCCACTCATGTGGGGGCTCGGAAGGGGGGATCCTTTTTTTTAAAAAAAAAAATTTTTAACAGTGAGCAGCCACTGGCTTCTCACTGTTTAATAGACATGCCCCTACTCGCGGGACTCAATGATGAGGCCGCGGCGAACCGTTCGCAAACCGTTCGGCGAACCGTTCGGGACATCACTACTCCCTAATACCGTGGGAATTAGGGAGTTATCTACCAAGCGGCTGCAAGAAAAGTTCCGAAATTCCGAAGTGCCGAAGTGTCGAAGCGCCGAAGTGCCGAAGTTGCCGAAGTTCCGAAGTGTCGAAGTGCCGAATTGCTGAAGTTTCTAAATTACCGAATTTCTGAAGTATCAAAGTTCCGAAATGTCCAAATGCCGAATTGCCGATGTTTCGAAATTACCGAATTTCCGAAGTGTCGAAGTGCCGAAGTGTCAAAGTGACGAAGTGTTGAAGTGCTGAATTGCCGAAGTCCCGAATTTCGGAATGCCGAACCAAACTAATAAATTTTCCCATGCACATGCCTAATACCTGCTAAAGCCTTTCTATAAAAATAGAAGCTTTTTAAAACAGAATTGAGGGAACAACACGGTTATGCTTGATATGTTTTTGGAATAAGATTTTCAACAACTAGGGGACCACATATTTTAGGTCACTTGTACAAATTACTGTATGGTTTTGAGGAGAGGATATGTATTATCTGATTTAATTTGAATCAATGGTAATTGAATGGAGGGGAAAAAAAAATATTGCTTAACCAATTGAATTAATTGGTTTAATTCAATGGAACCTGTTTTTAATGATACTTTATTTTTAGTATTTTTAGCCACTAAAGGCTGACCTGGCTATGTACTATTCCATTTTGGACTTTATCAAGCTTGATAAAGACCAACACAGGTTGAATCACAGCTAGATCCCCATTGGGTCATTATAGTAAAGGCGCAATAAAATATCAAAATTAATTCTTTCTATTATTTGGGAATTAGAAGTGTATATATAATGCCATAGCATAGTGACCAGATCTTGGAACATGATACCTATAGCATCTAGTGGTATGATAAATCTCATTTCCATCTCAGATAGCAGCCAATAAGTCAGTTGGATTTATAAAACACTATGCTAATGGAAGAATCAACATCAGTTTCTCTCCAAATAAAATATAGCTTCTTAAGATTATCTGGAAATAATGGGACTGCAAATTGCTAATATTTAGGCCTAATGTTACTGCACAGTCAATACTACAAGAAATTCTGACATGCAATATTTGTCTTCCAGTTCGGATTGTTTATACATTATCATATGTCTCTGGGTGATCTTACTTTTACTTGGTGATTTAAGTATTTTATGGATTCGAGCCTGTGAACAGGTTCCATTTTACATCCCTCCTGGTGGGCTCTTACATACACTGAACAAATTTATAAGCGCAACACTTTTGTTTTTGCTCCCATTTTTCATGAGCTGAACTCATTAGTTAAAACTCAATGGGTTAAAACTCACCTTATTTTCAGCTCTCCATGGGTCTGCCGGCACTGGCCCGCCCCCTTGGTGACATCATCAAAATTCCCATGGGGAAAGCATTGGATTGGCTAAAATCAGCAAGGGGACGGGGCCACATGCTGTTTTGGCCAATCAGCACCTCCTCATAGAGATGCATCGAATCAATGAGGAAAATTCATCATCCCAATACAGAATGTGAGGACGCTATGGAGTTATCGTGGTTAGGAAGAATTGCCTCCATAAAAATGTCAATCCTCCCAAAAATCTTGTACTATTTTAGAACTATCCCCTTATCTGTTCCAATGTCCTTCTTTAACAAAGAACATTGAATAATGCTAAAATTTATTTGGAACAACAAACCCAACAGAATTAAGCTTACATCCCTGCAGTACCAAAAACTTCATGGGGCATTGGTGTCCCTAATTTCAGAAAGTACTACTTTGCAACTAACGCTGCGGCGGTTGTAAGCTTTAATAGTCAAAAAAATAGGTCGAGATGGATGGAAATGGAGGAATCTAGCATTCTCCCCTTTCAACTCAGGGAATTACCCTGACTAAGGAGACCTGGAGTAACTAAAATGTTTATGACCACTAAGACCACACTTAACCCATTAAGGACAGAGCTTCAGAAGCTTGTCTTTCACTTAATGACAACAGCATTTTTTGCTGTTTACGTTCAACTGCAGTTTGCATTTTACTAATTTATTGCACCGACACATATTATATACCTTTTTTAAAGGACAGAAAGGGCTTTAATTTGATGTAACATGTAAATATATATAAATGCTTATTTATTATAAAAAAAATACAGTTTTTGCAATAATAATGTGTGCATAATTAGTGTAGGTTAAGGAAAGTAATTAAAAATAAATTCATTTAGTTGTTCTGATTTACAGAATATATAATGTGTCTGGGATTTTAAGTTTTTTTTGGTAGTTACAGGTCACAAAGCACAAGGAGTAAAATAAACTTTTAATGTGGAGCAATTTTAGAATTTGGTATGTTTGTCTTGTAAGCTTAATAGCCATAAAAGAAAACAAAATTGCCACACAAAAGTATATATTTATATAAAGTAGACATCATGGGCTATTTACCTAAGGTTGTTTTGACACTTTCTACGTAGCCATTTCACCGCCAACCTCTGCTAAATATTGGAGTAAAATTATTTTTTTTTTTGGTTTTTGGCACACAAACTTATAACAAAGAAATTCTCATGTGTATTTTGTAAAAATGGTGTGTGCTATTCCTGTACAAAGTTTTATTTTGTGTTCAGTTACATCTGCTGAGGAAACCCCCCCTCCACCCCCATTGTATGTCTTTGACACTATTTCGTGAAGTTACAGTGCCATATAGGAGACCTGTCCTTTTCAGTATTCACAGTAGAATTTTGAGAGATGGATTTAATGAGCCTTTGCTTCCATTTGGGGTATTATAACAGTTTGACTGTTCAAAAAAACCCCACAAAGGCCTACCATTTGTAAAATTAGACACTCCAGGATATCTCATAAGGTGCATATTGTGCCTTAACAGGCCCCCATTTTTTCACCAATATATGCCAAAGTATGTGGTAAAAAATAATTTTGTGCATTTTTTACATACGGATTGCATTTTTGCTGGGCATTTTGTATATTTCATATGTGCCACTAAGTTCAAACCCCCCAAATTATGCTCAGCTAAGTCTTCTGAGTAAAAAGACACCCCCAATGAATGTCCTTGGCACTATTTCGTGAAGCAACAGTGCCATATAGGAGACCAAGCCATATCAGTTTTTACCGAACTTTGAATTTTGACGCTGGGCCTATGTGCAATTTCCAAGCATCTTCGCAGGTTTTAAATTCAAACTACCCCACAAAGACCTACCATTTCTTAAAGTAGACAGAGTTTGCACAGTATATTTTGCAAACCTTATGTGTGCTACGACTGTATAATACTTCATATGTTGCTCAGCTATGTGGTCTGAGTACAGCAATACCCCCGTATGTACCTTTGCCAGGTACATGTGGATGTTGAAGGGGCATATTTGAGATGCAGCCATTCAGTTTATTTCTAACTTTGAAGTTTTACGCTGTGTCCATGTTCCAATTTGGAGTAGTTTAGATGGTTGGTTATTGAAACTTCCCCACAAACACATACTATTTATTAAAGAATATACCCTGGGGTAATTCAAAAAGCATATTTTGAACCTTGGCGCGGGATCATTTTTTCTCTAGTTTGTTCCAGGTGTAGTGGTAATGAGCGTTTTTAAATTTTTTTTTTTACTTTTTTACTTTTAAAAACTAGTTTTTTTAAAACTTTTGTTTTGCGTATTAATTTTTTTAAACTTTCCTAAACTTTCTTAAAACTTTTTTTTACAGATTTAACATTTTTCTAAGCATTTTTTTTACCGTTAACTAGCAGTAAGCAGCACTAACAGCAAATTCTCAATTTTCCCATAACTCCCACCCACCCCATCTAGCAAAATATATAATTATACAATATTTAAATTAGTTAATTAAATAAATTGAACCCCTGAGGGTTAAAAAATAAATAAAAGTTAATTGTCAGGGGTTAAAAAAAATTAGATCACAGTATAATACTGTGATCTGTATTTTGATCACTGTAGGCAGTGATCGACTGGCAGGCAAGGGGTTAATTTTTATTTGGACTGGCTAAAGGGGCGTGGTTTTTTATTTTTTACTTAAACATTATTAAAACTTTTTTTAACTTAATTTTGAACTTTTTAAAGCTTATTTTAAAACTTTTTTTAACGTTAACCCCTAGTTAGCCTAATACCAAATCCCCCAATTCCCCACTAACTTCCACCCACCCCAGCTAGCTAAATTTATAATTTTAAAATACTTAAATTAATTAATAAAATAAATTTAACCCCTGAGGGTTAAAAAAAAGAATTAACCCTCAGGGGTTAAAAAAAAAAATCAGATCATAGTAAAATGTAATCCCTGCCAATTGATCACTGTAGTCAGTGATCAATTGGCAGGGATTACATTTTACTATGATCTGATTTTTTTTTTTTTAACCCCTGAGGGTTAATTTTTTTTTTTTAACCCTCAGGGGTTAAATTTATTTTATTAATTAATTTAAGTATTTTAGTCAGTGATCAATTGGCAGGGTAGGGGTTAATATTTTATTAAAATGGGTAAAGGGGGGTGGGATTTTAAATAAACTTTATTTTTATTTTTTAACAGGGGGCAGGATCAGCACTGTTCCGGCTCCCTGCACTTCACACAGAACCAGGAAGTGCAGGGAGGCGGAAGGTAAGTATACTGAGCACATGTGCTGGGGCAGCCTGATCTAGTGCTCCCGGTCTGCCTCTAATACAGAAGCAGACCGGAGCACCATTAACCCCGTGATGGCCGCGATCACGGCGATCTGGGGTTAATTTTACTGCGTGACGGACAAGGTCCATCATTCGTTGTTAAGGGTTTCCCCTGAGTGACGGACCTCGTCCGTCACTCGTCATTAAGGGGTTAAAGCCTGGGATATAGTATTTAAAAGCAACTGTCACTTAACAAACCTATATAGAGCCATGCCAATTGAATCTTTAAAATACTACATCCCGACCCTAAACTCATCATTACTTAAAGAACACCGACTGTATCATATAGACAACTTTTTCCATGGAAACTCTATTCTGTCGTATGAAAGATTACAATTTAAGAATAGACTGGCGACCGAATGTAAGGATGAATGTGAGTTGGTGATTGAGAAATTAAAAGAAATATACAAAATACCAGAAACCAACAAAAATTATAAAGCACTAGATATATCACAACTAGAAAAGCTAATTTTACATGACCCGAATAGGAAGGGCATTATATCTATCTGTTATATGTTACATAACGATAAACCATCAATTAAACTGAAGCATATGTTATCCTGGAAGATGGAGCTGGGTTCCCAATATAAGTTGGAGGATTGGTTCAGTTTTTATCAGCTCTGAAGGGCCTATCTTTCTGCTCCAACCATCACGAAAACCACTTTAAAATTCTGTATCGATGGTATGTGGCCCCATCTATTTGCATAATATGACTAGATACTGGAAAATGATACATGACTTAATTATTAAGGTGAACAATAACATAGGTAGCTTCACATCTGAACTGACTCTATTTAAAAAATTCCCTGAATCCATCAGTAAAATTGATAGAATTATAGTAGGTCACATTCTGATAGCTGCAACCACATGCCTACCTAGATATTGGAAATCTAAAAACACACCCTCAGTTAAAGAAGTACTAACACTAACACTAGAAAACAAATTATACGAACTATCACATAGAAATAACACACATATTTGCACAATTGAAATACCACTGGGATCAATGGGAAACCGATGTCAAAAAAACATATAACCTTTAATAACATGTTATGGAATGTTTTTCAACTTAAGTGCCTTGTACATTAACATACTTACCATTATAATGGATGGATACCCCATTTTCCCACTTCCAAGTTTTCCCTTCCTTTCCCCTCCCCTAATATATTGTTTTTTTATTACTTGTAAAATCGGCAAAATCTTTCAATAAAAAATATTTGAAAAGAATGTGAGGACGCTGAATGGCAGGGCTGCTTACTGTGCAGCCCTGAGCCAGGAAGCCCCTCCAGTGGCCATCTAAGGAGTGGCCACTTGGAGGTGTCCCAAGGGGCAATGTAAACACTGCCTTTTCTATGAAAAGACAGTGTTTACATGAAAAAGCTGAAGGGAGCTATTATACCCACCAGAACAACTACATTAAGCTGCAGTTGTTCTGGTGACTGTAGTGTCCCTTTAACTCATGCTAAGTTTTTTACTATCCGGCCTGATGTCCTAGTTTTATTTAAGAGTCTCCACCCATGTATTGCTAAGCCGTCTTCTTCTTTAGTATGTCCACTACTCTAGTTATGTCAATGGGGCTTTATTTATATATGTACCAGCCTTCCATATTTCTTGTGGTAATTCTTCCACTTTTTTATTCATTTTTTTTTCTAATTGTCATAATGTAAAATGGGATGTTTTACATTGGCTTTTTTTTGCATAGATTTTGTCTATCTCATGGATGTCTGCTGCATTGTATTTTGCTGTGTACCTCCAGCAATAAATAAAACAATATAAAAACAGATTGCTTGGAATCTATTGGAACTTGCATTATAAACTATATTGTCTTTAAAGCTATTATTTTTTTATTTTTTAAAAATGTTTTTGTATTTTTTTGATCTGCTGGTTCTCGATATCCTATGTGCGTAATTAGGCTTTGATTTAATATTGTTGAATAAATATATATGTATTAAATATTTTTTTATATTACTTAAAGTGTTAAAAGTTTATCATAAACTTTTATCATCTGGCTGCTTTCAGCCTATTGCAGCCACATATTGCTTGTATAAATTGATATGGCTAAAGAAGCGTACAGTCTCTGGCTTAGCCACACCTTCAGTAGTGGCCGGACTGTGGGCAGCCTGAGACTCTCAATAAGTGTTAAATTGATTAAAAGTGGTTTAACATAGGGACAGTGCCAGGGGACTCCAAGCACTATAACCAAATCAGTGAGATGAATGATGTTTATAGTGCCTGCACAGTTTCCCTGTGTCTTCTTTAAATCTTACCAGAATATATATATATTTTAATCTTATTTTTACTTTATTATAATTTTTACATGTAACTTATTTTTATTTGTACAATGTGACTTTTGTCTGCTTTATATCAGTTTTACCTCTGTTCATTGTGTGACTTGTCCGGTCCGAAATGCAGTCATTATTCTTAACTAATGTTTTGTTTTTATTTATTTATTTATTGTGATTATCTTTGACTCACTTTCTTGAAAAGAAGAGGAGACTGTGTCTCATTATCCTACTAGAAGAAGCTGCAATCCAAGTTTGTGTCAAAACACTGTGGAAACTGTTAACAAAATGTTTAAACATCACCCAAACGGCCTCATAAAGTCTGTAATAAATGTTTCTACTCAAGCTTCATTTACTTATTAATTGATGTCTGCATTATTTCCTTGGCTTATATTTTCTGGTTGTAAAGGAATTTGTGTATATTTTTTTAACAATAAAACATTTATGTTACCTAAATATCTGTGGACATTTCAGTTGGAATTGGCACCAAATCAAAGTAATAATATTTTACCACTTAACCATAAACATCTGACGTGGAATATTTAAAACAGGATACAGTTCTGTAGAATAACGCAAAAGAGCATAAACATATACCAAATATATACAAGGATGTGCACAAATGCTTTGTAATGCTTAGTTTAAAATATTTATTTTATGTAAATGTACACATCTAATGATCTAATGGCAGTCAAATTTGCAGCACAGCTATTCCAATAAATGTGTATACACAAGATAAAAAAGAGTATGCAAAATAATAAAAAAAACATGCAAATGACTGCCATTTCCTCTTCTTGTTACAGCGCTATAAACACATGCATAATATCTTAAACTACTTTACTGCTGAAGCAAACTTAGACATCTACAGTTGCAAGAAAAAGTGTGTGAACCCTTTGGAACGATATGGATTTCTGCACAAATTGGTCATAAAATGTGATCTGATCATCATCTAAGTCACAACAATAGACAACCACAGTCTGCTTAAACTAATAACACACAAAGAATGAAATGTTGCCATGTTTTTATTCAACACACCTAAACATTCACAGTGCAGGTGGAAAAAGTATGTGAACCCCTAGACTAATGACATCTGCAAGAGCTAATTGGAGTGAGATGTCAGCCAACTATAGTCCAATCAATGAGATGAGATTGGAGGTGTTGGTTACAGCTGCCCTGCCCTATAAAAAACACACACCAGTTCTGGGTTTGCTTTTCACAAGAAGCATTGCCTGATGTGAATTAGGTCTCGCACAAAAGAGCTCTCAGAAGAACTACGATTAAGAATTGTTGACTTGCATAAAGCTGGAAAGGGTTATAAAAGTATCTCCAAAAGCCTTGCTGTTCATCAGTCCATGGTAAGACAAATTGTCTATAAATGGAGAAATTTCAGCACTGCTGCTACTCTCCCTAGGAGTGGCCGTCCTGTAAAGATGACTGCAAGAGGACAGCACAGACTGCTCAATGAGGTGAAGAAGAATCCTAGAGTTTCAGCTAAAGACTTACAAAAGTCACTGGCAAATGCTAACATCCCTGTTAGCGAATCTACAATACGTAAAACACTAAACAAGAATGGATTTCATGGAAGGATACCACAGAGGAAGCCACTGCTGTCCAAACAAAACATTGCTGCACGTTTACAGTTTGCACAAGAGCACCTGGATGTTCCACAGCAGTACTGGCAAAATATTCTGTGGACAGATGAAACCAAAGTTGAGTTGCTTGGAAGAAACACACAACACTATGTGTGGTGAAAAAAAGGCACAGCACACCAACATCAAAACCTCATCCCAACTGTGAAGTATGGTGGTGGGGGCATCATGGTTTGGGGCTGCTTTGCTGCATCAGGGCCTGGACGGATTGCTATCATCGAAGGAAAAATGAATTCCCAAGTTTATCAAGACATTTTGCAGGAGAACTTAAGGGTATCTGTCTACCAGCTGAAGCTCAACAGAAGATTGGTGTTGCAACAGGACAATGACCCAAAGCATAAAAGTAAATCAACAACAGAATGGCTTAAACAGAAGAAAATATGCCTTCTGAAGTGGCCCAGTCAGAGTCCTGACCTCAACCCGATTGAGATGCTGTGGCATGACCTCAAGAAAGCGATTCACACCAGACATCCCAAGAATATTGCTGAACTGAATCAGTTCTGTAAAGAGGAATGGTCAAGAATTATTCCTGACCGCTGTGCACGTCTGATCTGCAACTACAGGAAACGTTTGGTTGAAGTTATTGCTGCCAAAGGACGTTCAACCAGTTATTAAATCCAAGGGTTCACATACTTTTTCCACCTGCACTGTGAATGTTTACATGGTGTGTTCAAAAAAACCATGGCAACATTTCATTCTTTGTGTGTTATTAGTTTAAGCAGACTGTGATTGTCTATTGTTGTGACTTAGATCAGTGTTTCCCAACCCAGTCCTCAAGGCACACCTACCAGTCCAGGATTTAGGGATTACCCAGTTGTGTCTAAGGTGTTTTTTTTCTTCTTTGTAAAAACACCTTAGACACAACTGGGTAATCCCTAAATCCTGGACTGGTAGGTGTGCCTTGAGGACTGGGTTGGGAAACACTGACTTAGATGATGATCAGATCACATTTTATGACCAATTTGTCCATATCATTCCAAAGGGTTCACATACTTTTTCTTGCAACTGTAAGTCAATATGTCCAAAATTGGGGAAAAACGTGAATAATTTAAAAGCATATAAACTACAAACATAGTTTTTAAACAAACAAAAAAAAATGTTTAGTACAAAATCTGAATAAGATAAAATAAACAGATTACCATATTGAACACTTCCTCAAACAACGTCCCATTTACCAAAAAAATATAGAATAGTTAAAGGTTTACTCCAAACATCATAACCATTACAGCCTACTAAAGTGGATATTATTATTATTATTATTATTTTTATTATTATTGATAAAGGGCCAACTAACATGGGTGGACTAACATACAGAAACAGATGGTGTTGAGGGCCCTGCTCACATGAGCTTACAGCTAGATGGTTATGGCTAGATGGTAAGTAGTACACAGGCTGCAATCACTGGTAGTGGGGCAAAATATTTTGTAAACATTTGTCCTCGTTTTTTTGGTCCTGCCAGTCCCAGAGGCCAGCGATGCATATTCGCCATTTGCAGAAGCCAGATGCTGATCCTGCTGGTCATTACTTGGCTAAGAGCATTGACTCAGAGGTTTCAGCCAATGAATGACCTTCTGTGCATAATATATGCACAGAATTTACATTAGCCAGCCTGAATCTCTTGTTCCAGGCTGCATAATGGTATACTTATAACTCTGCCAAAAGCTTCACCTCCAGCAACATCATTACATGTCTCTCTCTATGTGCAACGTTTCACGGTGAAACACTACACATAAGCACTATGCCCACTTCAAATCACTGAAATGGTCATGGTGCTTGAAAAAACCATCAAACAATATATATAAAAATCACATATTTAGTTTTACTATATATATGTATATAGTACACATGTGTGTGTGTATGTATATATAATATGTGTGATTTCTTTAAATATTTTACCAACCAATCAAAGTGCTAATTTACAGGGGTAAATACCATCTTCTTTTGCATAAATTACTTATTAAGGCTTGCTGTCTATATAAATAACAAAAACATCTCTTACTCCACTGCTTAATACAAATATTGTATGACATTTGTTTCTACTTATTTACTTTGTTATGCATTTGTCATGCACTGTGATCATTATTTTGTCCTAGCATTGTCAGGTTAAAATGTGTTGTCTGTTTTTTGGGGTTTTTTTACATTTAGGATTAACCAGAATAATTTTTTTGTTCAACATCGTTGTATGTTCTGGCAGGAATTGGGGTTCTTTAATCAAATGAGCATGATGGTGGCTGTGCGATTTAATGCTCTCACAGGTCACCCCCTACAGAGGTGGCTGTGCGATTTAATGCTCTCACAGGTCACCCCCTACAGTACCTGCAGCCAGGATTCTACCATAGAAATATGGGGCCCTGAGATATAACAATCAAGTGCTTTTGCATCAATATGGTTGAATGCACATCATGTCAAGGGCCCAGGTTTCATAAATTGGTTATATTGGCTGGATTTCTGGGAGAAAGAACAGGACTAACATACAATGGAATGCCAGTCCCAATGAAACTGCACTCTTTTTGGATTTGATTTTGAATAACACCAGAAATGACTTAACTAAGAGTTCCCACTGATCTATTGTAAGATCATCAGGGATGCTTGTATAAATGTAGATTCTGAGTATAGTTAGGTCCCATTTTATATCCCATAGTATATAGTATATATACCCCATATATATATAGTATATAGTATAGTATAGGCTATTATACCCCAGTATAGCTCAAAAAGATACAGTAATGGGAAAGTATACCGTCTTTGAATTCTACAGTTTTACATATCAGGACATAACAATCATCTGTTCCTGGTCTTAAAATTAGGTAAATACAGAATCAGACGAACAACAACACACAACATATCACATCATGTCATGATTTACTTAACAAAAATGAAGCCATAATGTAAAATCCATGTATGAAAAACTCAGTACACCCATACCACTTCCATAGAAATTAAGAGGCTAAGTAGCAGACAGGTGCTGCTATTCAAATGCCATTAATTGACAACCTCGGAAAAAAACAAGTTTTTGCTGCAATGAAATGGCACACAATTGAGTTTCTTCTCCCTTGTAGGGGAATCTTAGTGCAAAAGGCTCACTGGGCGATCCTGGTGAAGAGTGTACTATTGTAAGCAATAGTCTTGTTTTTGTTTTTTTTTATAAATTAATTAAGAGTAATAAATATATATATATATATAAATAAAAATCATCCAATTACTAAATTACACTAGGTTGGTGATATAAATTCACAACTTATCATCAATTTTGGATGTATTTTTAACGGGTAGGAACCAAGATATATTGGAAAAGACATTATGGAAATGTGAAATCATTTATTGCTTTTGGACAGGCTCCCATTATTGCAGAAGTCAAGTAGGAAACATAGCAAATGGATGCCAAGAGAAAGAAAATGCTACTGATTAGAGGCCTACTTAGGTTATTTGGCAACAGATTTGGGAAACTCTGTTTGCACCCACCAATATGTAAAATGTTTTGTGTATTGCACTACCACTCATTGTGTGTCTCTGCAGTCTCTTGTCTGCTTTTGTGTGCCTCCTAACTCCTCTTATTCTAATGTGTTTCTTTTCTAAACCCTAGTGTGTCTCTTATTCCTCTTTTTACCCATTGGCTTTTTAAATATCGAATTTTGTGTAGATGGAAATCCAGTGAAAATAACCATATTTCAACTGTATTGGCTTTTCTCATATTTACTAAAGCTAAATGTGGCCAGAATTTAGTCAACCAGAAAAAATCTACAGCAACCACCCAGATCAGTGAGTGTCCGGATTGAAATTGGTGATTCCACATCTGAGTTCAGGATCAAATGCATTACTGTCCACCACCTGTCCCAACCCAAGACCATCATAAGGGGATATATAAAAAAATGAAGAGGGAGTGGGGAATTTTAATGCCCTTCCGGCCCCCACCTGTGCTCAGCAGGTGGGAGCTACTATAACATTCAGGGGGAGGACCTTGTGCCCCCCCGACTCCCACCAATTTGCAGTCAATGGGGGCAGGGCCGCCATCAGAAATTGTGGGGCCCCTAACACAGCTCAAGGTCTGGGCCCCCGGGTGCCCGGCTTCACCTCTAAATCCCGCCCACAGAAATACACACACAGAGACACAAAAGGACACAGACACAGAAAGATACACACATACTAACAGACACAAATACTGAAACAGACATACACACATACACATGCATAAGGAGATACAGATAGACACAGACACACATACTGACATACTGACACACACACATACTCACATACAAACTGACATACAGACATGCAAACATACACATAAATACATACTGACATACATACAAACACATACATACTGATATACATACACACACACACACACATAGATATATACATACACAGATACATACAGACATACATACTGATATATATATACAAACTGACAGACACATACATACATACACAGATACATACAGACATACTGACATACATACACATACTCATAGATAGATATATACATACATACACACATACATACTGACATACACACACATACATACATACTGAAACACACAGACATGTATATACTGACATAACACACATACTGACATGCACACACACACACACAGATAGATATGTACACAGATACATACAGACATACTGACATACATACACACATACATGCATGCTGACACATACATACTGATAGATACATACACACAGACATATATACATACTGCTATACACACACAGACATACACACAGACATACTGACATACATACTGACACACACAGACATATATACATACTGACATATACACAGACATACACACATACATACTGACATACACACACACACACACATACACAGATACATACAGACATACACACACACATACATACAGACATACACACACACATACATACATACACACAGACATATATACATACTGACATACATACAGACATATATACATACTGACATACACACACATATACTGACATACAAATACACACACACACCTCATTTATCAGCCACCCTCCTCTTACCTTTAAGTTGCAGGAGAGTGGCTGGGGATGATGGGAGGGAATGCCTGTCCTGTCCTCTCCTCTCCTGTGCTCTGCTCTCCCTCTCCCCCCGCGTGGAGTAGGCTGGGAGGAAGTGACCCGCTGTCACTTCCTCCCAGCAGCACTTGCTGTGTAGCCGCAATTTTTTTTTTTAAAGGGGCCCGGTTGCGCTCTTACATGGCTGCAGTGCTGACCGGGCCCCTGAAG